GGTCCACAGAATGATGCTCTAATCACTGAGCCAAACCGGCCGGGGCAGGAAGTAAATTTTAATGTTTAATTTCATTTGGAAAAATAAGGTTCACTGGACTTTTTTGTCAGGAAGACAGACAATTGCTGATTGCAGCAGTCATAGTAAACCAAATGGTGCTGATCAAAGTGCGTCCTGAAAACTGAAGTCCAAGAGAGTTTGTATTATTTTTCTTCAGAAGTATTTGCCTTCAAATGGTGAGTTCAATTTTGTAGCCATAACTGGTATATTACCAGTATAGATTTTCCAGCTAAAAGAAGCAAGAAAAATATCAACATGTAAGTAGCATTTACATACCAAACATAAAGGAATAAGTTCAAAACCTGGGGGAGAGGGGATCATTAAAAGAAGGACTTTTATTTGTTGAAATAACAAGTTGACAGAAGCAGATATTCAATTTTTCACACATAAACATTAGTGCTGTGCAGGTTTCTAATAAAGTATCCTTTCTGTTTGTTAAGACTAAGAAGCTATATACTATTGCCAAGGCACTGGGGAAAGACAACAAAGATATTTGCTTAGAAATGTTCGGTGAATTGCTGTCAAAGCCAGCAGCCCTGGTGTCTCTTTGCAATAACAGGAACAGGCTACTTTGTGGAAAACCAGCTCATAGAAAACATAAAGCTAGCAAAGTGTTTTCCATTGCAACTTGATATCATGAACAAATATGAACATAGGGATTTTTAGCATATGTACAATTTCAATATGATGGAAATATTATGGAAGACTTGATTTTTCAACCTTGTGACTGAAAATACTACTAGCACTGCCTTGTATAAAACTATGGAGACAAATGTTTTGTATACAACATTGTCAACGAATGTGGTTTAAAGTTTAGGTTTCATGTAAAAGTAACCTGATGACTCAGCTGCAATGACAAGAAAAGCTCTGAGTAGGTACTCAGATTAAGGTGTCCCCAGAATGTAAATCACTGCACTTTCCTGCATCAAGATATTTCTGCTGTGAAAATAATGTCAGCTGAACTGAACAGTATTCTGACTGACGTGCTAAAATCTGAGAATTACATAAGAGCTAATGCATTACAGTTCAGATCATTCTCTATATTTTGTGATAACACAGAAGCTGAACATAAATAGTAATTATTGCATGCTGGGTATGATGATCATCAAGAGGAAAATTCTGTCAAGACTGTTTGAACTGCAGAATAAACTCTCAGTGTTTCTGCAGGATACAGAAGCCAGCTTAATCCAGCTTTTTAAAGATATGAATTAGCCAGTTTGATATTTTGTTAAATTTGTCATATATTTTTTATCTAAGCTCTGTACTTATCCCATGCAAGGACATAGTACATGTTTTCTAATGACAGATAAGATCTAAAAAACAAAGCAAATTTTACAGCCATGGAACAACAAAATTTTTAGAGATTGTTATGACATACTTCATAATTTTGCAATTATCGTTGATTTAGTAATGATCTTAATATTGTATATCTGCAAATAGTTTTCTCTGAATACCTTACAAATCTGATAGAACACTTTGAACTTAATCATACTTCAAAAATATTCACACACAGGAAATTCACAATTCTTTAATCCATCTTTTTCATAAAAAGTTAATTTATCCTTGGCCAGTGTGGCTCAGTTGGTTGAGCATTGTCCCATGCACCAAGAAGTCGCTGGTTTAATTCCCAGTCTGGACACATGCCCACGTTGCAGGCCCAAACTCCAGTAAGGGACGTGGGGCATGCAGGAGGCAGCCAATCGATATTTTTTTTCTCTCATGGATGTTTCTCTCTCTCTCTCCCTCTCCCTTCCTCTCTCTCTAAAATCAATAAAAACATGTGTTTTTTTTTGTTTTTGTTTTTGTTTTTAAAGATCATTTAAGAGAATGATCCTTGGACTTCTAGTCAAGATGGTGGCATAGGTAAACATGGTACTCACATCTTCCCACAACCATATCAAAATTACAAATAAACTATAGAACAGCCATCATTCAGAACCACCTGAAATCTGGCTGAATGGAAGTCCTACAACTACGGATTTAAAGAAGCCACATCAAGACTTGTAGGAGGAGTGAAGACACAGAACAAGCTTGTCCCACACCCATGTGTGGAAGATAAAAATCAGGAGGGAGACGAGCAATCTACTAGATGCAGAGTTCAAAACACTGGTTATAAGGATGCTGAATGAAATTATGGGAAGAGTAGTTGAACTTAGAAGTTTAACAGCATAAAACAAAAACATGGAAACCATAAAAAAGAACAGTCAGAAATGAAGGATACACTAAATGAAATGAAGAGTAATTTATGGGGAATCAACAGAAGAGTAGATGAAGCAGAGAATCAAATTAGTAATTTGGAATATAAGGAAGCAAAAAAAAAAAAATCAACACCCAGTTAGAACAGCAAAAAGAAAAAAAAATCCAAAAAAAGTGAAGAGAGTGTAAGGAGTCTCTGGGACAACTTCAAGCATACCAACATTTGCATCATGAGAGTGCTGGAAAAAAGATTAAATATGTGAACAATAAAATAGCAATAAATACATATCTATCAACAATTGAACCTAAAAAACAAAGTAAGTAAACAAGTAGAACAGAAACAATCATAGATACAGAGAACATTTTGACGGTTGCCAGATGGGAGGGGGATTGCAGGATGGGTGAAAAAGGTGAAGGGACTAAAAAGTACAAATTGGTTGTTACAGAATAGTAATAGGGATGTAAAGTACAGCATAGGGAATATAGTAAATACTATTCCAATAACTATGTGTGGTGTCAGATGGATACCAGATTTATTGGGATAATCACTTAGTAAGTTATGTAATGTCTAATAACTGGGGTGTACACCTGAAACTACTATAATATTGTATGTCAACTGTAATTGAAAAATAAAAAATGATTTCAATTTTTAAAAAAGATAATTTGAATTCAATTATACTTTACAAGATTGTTAGAACTGGCTGCTGATGAAAGAGTGAAGATGAATTTTGAAAATATAGCATTGCTTAGTCCATTTTGTATAAGAGTTAAAATAAATGCCCTGAGCATGTTGATATTGCCTTAAAATATCTTTTATTTCCCTCACCACACTTGTGTAAGATTGATCTCTCTACTATAAGCATTATTAAAAACAAAACATAGAAACATTTTAGATATGCATTATGCCATGTGAATAGTGGTGTCTAGATTAGTTAAAAAGGAAGAAGCAAGCTCATTTGTTACATCAAAACTTCAAATATTGTTTGTTCAAAAACGTGCACAGGCATTTAATATGGAGAATTACTACTTCACTCAATTTTTGTTTAGTTGTGATTGTGGAATAACAAAAAATAGGTGTGATAGTGGTTATACTAATCACCTATATGTACACTTTCATAAACATGATTCCTGTAATTCTTTTCTTTTTTATATTTACTTTGATTATATTTATTTTATCCTCATATGTATTTTTATTTTTTGAAGTGAAATGTCATTTGATGTCTGTTGAATCTAATAAAACAGTTAAGCTTGAATTTTATGTCTTTGTTTCTTTTTAAAGTTTTCTAGCATTTTAGTTTTATTGTATTTTTACAAAACTATTGGTTTTCTATTGGCTGGAAACGTTTTGTTTCTTTATTTTATTTTGTTTTGTTTTGTTGTTGTTAATCCTCACCTGAGGATATTTTTCCACTGAATTTTAGAGAGAGTGGAAGGGAGGGAGAGAGGGGGAGAGAGAGAGAGACATCGATGTGAGAAAAACACATTGACTGGTTGCTGTCCACATGACCCCGACCATGATCAGAGATCTTATCTGATCTGTAATGCAGGTACATGCCCTTGACTGGAATCAAACCCATGACCCTTCAGTCAGAGGACCTACACTCTAACCACTGAGCCAAACCAGCCAGGGCTGGGCTGGAAACTTTTAAAAATACCTAATCCTTGCCTGGCTGGTGTAGTTCAGTGGTTGAGTGTCAACCCATGCACCAAGAGGTCACCGATTTGATTCCTAGTCGGGGCACATGCCCAGGTTGTGGGCCCAATCCTTGGTTGGGGACATGCAGGAGACAACCAATCGATGTTCTCTCTCATCGATGTTTCTATCTCTCTCTCTCTCTCCCTTCCTCTCTCTCTAAAAGCCAATAAAGAAACAAATTTTAAATATATAATCCTTGCCCACAGGTATCTTGAGAAGCACTCCCCTAACAACCTCTACTTAGGAGCAATGTTGGCCTACTGAGGAATCTGCATCCATCTCAATCCTTCAGATTTGAGCTGGTCCAACTCCCTCACTGAATCCTAGAAGGTTTGGATCAAAGGATTTAGTACAAATTCTTCCCTGGCATCCATGCACTCAGGCCTGTTCATATAGAGTCAACTTCCTGAGACCTCTGAAATCCCTAAGTCCCATCCTAGGACCTCAAACTGAAAGAAGGCATGATAGAGTCCTTCAGCTACTGAGAAATGCTAATGGAAATATCTTTTCTTGTTTCCATTTAAGAATATAGCTGGAATGCATTTGGCCAAGGCAGAGGAGGTAGGTACAATTCAAGTTGACAAGCAGAAACATAATAAAAAGTGGGCAGAGGCTAATTATTAGTGACAAAGAAGCTTGCCACCAGGAATCAAGAAGAAGCCAGAGATCTGTTACCTTCACAGTTCCTTGCCTCCTTGGAGAAACACTCAGAGATTTGGTAACAGATTTCCTACACTCCAAACAATATATACACACAAAAAAAAATCATCAACAACTGTGTACATAAAAGCTCTAAAATCTGTATTATTAGGCACTTTTTATGAACTGGGCACTTTATAAGAATCATCTCTTTAATCCTTACAACAAGCCCATGAGGTAAATATTCTTAGCCATATTTTACAGATTAGATCAATGAGGAGGCTCTGAAAATTTAAGAAAATTACTTACCCTTCAATCTATCTTTTCTCTTGCTACGGCATCGCTCATCCTGTCTACGCCAGCCATCATCTGCCTGGATTCTGCTAATCATTCCGAACCAGCCTAGAGCCATGAGCCTCATCTTGGTATCACCTGATGAGCTTTTAAAAAAAGGCTTGTTATCCCGGTGCCATTCCTAGGAATTCTGGTTTTAATTGATCTAGGATGTAGCTGATTAAATCATAACTACTTAGCTTTAAAAATCCTAAATAATTCTAATTTTCATCCAAAGTTGAGGACCACTGGCCTAGTTTCAAAACTGAGTTAGGTGTCCCCTTTCTATGGGCCCATAGTATCTTATCTTCATTTAGTCATTCATTTTTATTTTTTATTACCTATGTTATCAAATTTAACTTCATGGTATTGTTACTGCCCGTTGCCTGCTATATAGATTTTAAACCATCCAAGGCAGGAACTTTGCTAGTCATGTTCATTCATTCATTCATTCATTCACTTACTTAATAAGTACTTATTAAGTACCTGTTATGAGTCAGGCTCTGCGTTAGTACAGTAAGTCCTCACTTAATGTTGATAGGTTCTGCGACTTTAAGCAAAATGACAAGTAACAAAGCCAATTTTACCATAGGCTAATTGATATAAACAAGAGTTAAGTTCCTACGGCATCTCATCAACATTATAACTAAATGATGTCGAGCAAAAGCAACACTATTTGAGGACCTGCTGTAGATGGGAATATAACAGTGAACAAGGTACCACATGCTCTCATAGTGCAGGAAACAAAAAATAAAAGGACAATCTATATGTTCTTGCTTTCTACTGCCCCATAACAACCCCAAACTTAGTAGCATATAATGGGTGTCACAGGCTGCAAGTTTAAGCTGCCTTTTGGGTAACCCCTCACCTAGGAGCATACAGAGCAATGGTGTTGTCTGCCCTCAGAACGATATATCTGGGGAAAAGGTCTGGAAGAGAGTTAAGGATCCTCTGAGTGAGGGAGACTTGAATCCCAGTTATCCTGAGCAAGACTGGCTACATAATTTGTGTGGCCCAGTGCACGATTAAAATGGAAAGCCCCTTGATCTGAAAGTAGGAGAAAAAAAAAAAGTGCTGTTAAGGTTACTAAAACATGAAGCTTCTTTCTTTCTTCCATGGTCTCTCTCAACTTGTCATGGTGCTGTTTGTTTACTATTTAATGCCATTCTAAGTAAAGAAAATTTTAAATTAATAGCATGAATTTTACAGCTCATCTTTATATCGTGCAATGCCAGTTTTAAATGGAACCACAAGAGCTTTCAACTCTTCCAGCCGGTGTGGCTCAGTGGTTGAGTGTCGACCCATGCACCAAGAGGTCAGGGCACATGCCCAGGTTGTGAGCCTGATCCCCAGTAGGGGGCATGCAGGAGGTGGCCAATCAATGTTCTCTCTCATTGATGTTTCTATGTCTCTCTCCCTCTCCCTCCCTCTCTCTCTAAAATTAATAAAGGGAAAAACATTTTTTTAAAAAAAGAGCTTTCAATTCACATGAAGAATTGCAAAAATTATATGACTTAACAATGGGAAGCCTGCACAAAATTAAAGTAATTGTTTTTATTTCACTTCTTGATGTGTATACATTCTACCAATACGCTCTACCTTCAGTATACTGATGAGTAAGAAAGGACTAAAAAAAAAAAAAAAAAAAAAAAAAAATCATGTGTTAGCCTAGTTTGCCTTTATCTTCTATATCTTTATTTTTCAACAAAAATGGTTAGTTAATACAGAAAAGTAAATGAGTAAGAAAGGATATGATAGGATTCCTCGCGTATTCATGCTTTCTTAGAATTACCTTCTTTCTGTACTCAACGCAAGTTCTAGTTCAAATGGGAAGTAGTTTGTGCCCTCACTTCCTCAGTCATAGACGTAACAAACTTACCTTGTACTTGCTTTGAGTCTCACTAAACTCCCACACGTGTGGGTCCACCAGCATTCTGGGCTCATGGGGCACTGCAAACCCTATATGATAAAGGGGTGGCAATGAGCAGCTGAGACGTAGCATATAGGAGATACAGTATATTTCCTCTGCTCCCATGCATGTCCACTGTCATATCAGACTTCATTCACAAAATACAAGTTCAAAGCTAAATTTATTAAGAAATTCAAGACAATAACAGCAGAGCCTTAAAGCAAGGGTGGGTCTTTCTGAGCACAGGGCACTGTATGACTGCACAGGTGGCATGCTCATGAAACTGACCCTGACCCAGAGTTTGGTCTAGAAGTGTGGGCCAGTAGTCTCTTGGTGAACACAAGCTGTCAGCGGTCTAAGTTTCTCAGTGGGATACCCTTGATCCCATGGACTCCTCAACCTCTGGTGAGGGTTGTGACCAAAAGAAGACCCAAGAGGATCCTCCATAGGGCAGGTCCAGGGCAACAACCTTGTCCCTTGTGCCCGGGTCTAAAGGCAAGACAGGCCCAGCCAGTGTGACTCACTGGTTGAGCATCGACCCATGCACCAACAGGTCACCGGTTTGATTCCCAGCCAGGGCACATGCCCAGGTTGTGGGCCAAATCCCCAGTGGGGGGCATGCAGGAGGCGGCCAATCGATGTTCTCTCACATTGATGTTTCTAGCTCTCTCTACCTCTTCCTTCCTCTCTGTCTCTCAAATTAATAAAGAAAAAAAAATTTAAATAAAGGCAAGACAGGTGGTGACTTCTATCCCAAAAGGAAAGATGGTAGGAGCGACAGATTTGGGGACAGAGAAGAGTTATTAAGTCCTTAACCAAGCACATTGTACAGACTCAATAGATATTGATGAGTAAATGAATATACGTAAAGCAAACAAGTGGTTGTACAACGGAATAGATGAAAGCATGTGTTTTGATGAAATACCTGACTTAGATGGGGAACACAGGCCTGCATTCAAAGCCAATTCTCTCTCTCCTGTTCATTACAATGTGATTTTGCACATGCCCTAATTGTGTGCCATTCATCCTGTGCTATCACACCACACAAAGAACCACCATGGCATCATCTTCTGTCTTCTATTTTATATATAATTTTAAAAATTACCCCAAGTAACAAAATACTGAGCTCTGTGCTTTCTTGCCTTAATTATGTTTTTCATCATTATATTCCTTCTTCAACCTTGAGCCTTACTTTTCTTAAACTACATTCCCCACATCTGGGATACGAACCATTCTGTTGATACAGCAAAAGCATATGATAAGGGAAATGTGCATCTGTTTTAATTATCTAAAACCCAGGCAAGATTTGACCAAACAAATCACTAGGCCATTCAAAAATCCACTTTTTTTCATTGAGTGTATTTACACGGAACTGGTAAAAAGTCAACACTAAGGAAGGAAATGCTGCTCGCCTATTTTTTTTTTTTCTTGATGAATTGGGCTGAAATATTTAGATCCTAATTGTATGCATTTTTCTCAGTTTGGTTAGGACAATGAACCTGCTGAAAATGTCCCACCACCAAAGAAATATATTCATACATTTACTGAAAGCAAATAACCCACCAAGAAACCTTGAACTTGGAGAAGAATGAGACTTTACTTACCATTGGCACCCTCTCTGTTCACTTTCATAGGACTAATAGGTTGAATAAATATTACCTCTAGTTTCCATTTTTGTTCTGATTAGTATGTCTTAACCAGGTACTTTGTACTTGGTCCCCAAAATCTCAACACATGCCTATGAGTACCTACCCTTTAAAAGGAAAAAATATTTTCCTACTACACTTTGAAACCTTCAGAAATTCTCACTTCACTATCATGACAGAATCTCAACCCCAGGCTTTATTCTTCAAAAAAGAGTCTTGGTTGGAAGACCTAACTCCTGTCTAGCTCACATATGTAATTTCCATTACCTTCAACAATTCTAAAGCTATCTAATCAATAGAGATAATCCCAGATTTTAAAAGGCTATGCTAATTGCTCTGATTCGTTTTATTCACTAAATCCTCCTTTATTTCACCCTTCCTTAAAAGAGAATGGTAATTTTTCTTTAGGAATCAATAAACCCTCCCAGAGCCATTGAAGCTTCCAGAAAAGGCTAACAGATAAAATTTTTATTTTATCTTAACTTCTTTCCATATTCATTGATCCCAACTGCTCAAAAACACAAAAACAAGACTGGATCTAAAAAAAAAAAAAAAGTACAGCCACCAGAGCTCACAGTCATTAGTTAACCACCTCTGGTATAAGTGGTTGGCCTGTTTTTGATGCATAGGAAGCACTAAATCATGATATGTTGATTGTTTGATTGATGTTTAAAAGGCAAGTGCCTGAGGGGAAATTTGAGTTTTTTCTTACCATTGTATCCTTTCCAACTACATGAAATACATGATTTTCTATAAATCACTCTCAAAATATGTTGTATCATTTTCATGTTTCTGAGAAAGGCAATTTGGACCAGTTCTCCAGCAATTTGTAACGGAAATTTGACTGCTGGCAGGGCAGTTCAACAGCAAACAGTATTCACAAATGTTTAGTGAGAAGGAGATATGGGCCAGGCACCTTACTAGATACGAGACAGAGAAGGACACCTAAAATTGAGTCCTTGACTTCTAGACGTTCACGGTGAAGTGGGAAAATAGTAGTAGAAATAATCATCATGAAATGTGCAGAGTTGTAATACAGGTATGTGCAGAGTAGTACAGTGACACAGAGGCCCAATAACAATGGGTAGGGATTCAGTAGAGTGGTTAAGAGCATATTTGAATCTCAGATCAGTGATTCACTGTTTGATCTTGCAAGCTATTTGCCTCTGTGTCTCAGTGTCCTCCTCTGTAATAGTGATAATGATAGTACCTATCTCCTAAGGTTATTGTGAAGAGTAAGTAAGTAACTTAGAACAGTGTTTGGAACATAGCACTCAACAAACATTAGTCATTATTAATACCATCAGATTATACATAAAAGGGAGTCTGAGATTTGACCTACAAAAGTAGATGGAGACATGCAGTCTTCATGTTATAGATATGTATGGGAAATCCGACTCTGTGGTTTGAGAACAGATTAACAGAATGGAAATGTGAGAATAACACACACTGCTCTGGACTGTGACATGTGTGAATTTTAGTTCTGCTACTCACTCACTAACTGGGTGCCTCAGCAAGTTATCCTGGCATGAAAAGAGTAGGTGCTCAATACATAAGAACAATGATTACTATGGGTGCATGGGTGAAAATGGATTAAGATTAGCACTAAAAGTTTGGACTGTGGAGAGCTTGTGTATTACATGCATTACTCAATCACTGTTGCAATAATGCTGTGTAATAAGCAACCCCACCCCAATGTTAGTGGTTTACAACAGCGTTTTTCATTTTGGGGCCTGGGGTCAGACTCTTTATTACAATATGTCTACTTAATATAGAAAGTAAAATTAGAAAATTTTGCAAATATTTTTAGTGCTGTAATATCAGGAACTAACAAAATTCACCATGGCAATACATTTCTAAGAGTCAAATGAACAGCAGACAATTATATAATGCCTACTGTGTGCGAGACACCAAGTCACAGGTGAGTCAGCTGAGGTTTGGCTTATGTTGGTTGATTTTTGTTGGGCCTGCTTGGGTTCAGCTTGGCTTGGCTCCAGACCAAATTCGGCTCCACATTTCTCTCATTCTCGGAACTGTGGCTATCTGTACGGAGCATACAATTCCGGGCACACATTTATCTTGACAATAGCTGAATCCAAAGAGACAGATCCAAACCATAGAAGTACATTTAAAGTCTGCTCACATCACATCAGCCAAAATTCCATTGATCAATGTAAGTTGCATGAGATGGGGAAGTACACTGTGTTCACATTACAGCAAGAATTGCAAAGTCACATGGCAAAGCCTATGGATGTATAATTATATCATAAGGACAGTGAAGAATTAGGAATAATAATCCTATGTACATGTTTGGGAGTTTTTAATTCATTCTATAGATAAAAGGATCCATGAAAGACATTATAGTAAGGAAATTACATGATTGGATTGATTTAAATTTTAAAAAGTGCATCCTGGTGGCTATGTGGAAGGTGAATGTGGTGTGGAGGAACCAGTGCTTCTAGTCCATGGACCAGACAAGACATGGTTAGGATACGGAATTGCATGAAGAGAATACTTATGAAAAAAGTTGATGAGTTAAGATTGGCAAGACTTGATGACTAACTGGATGTGGCATGAGTGGGAAAGGACAGGGTTGGCGAGAAAAAAAGTGGAGGTGACTCAGAAACTCCAAGGTTAGACAACTTGGGTGGTGGTAACGGTATATCCTGAAATAAGGAGAGTTGTAGGAAGAGATCTTTACAGAAGAACAGGATATAGGAAAATGATGAATCTAATTTTGAACAGAGCAGTGGCTTTATAAGATGTCAACTTGCCTGGGCTAATCTCTATTTCCAAGAATTCCTTTCTCTAAATATTTCTAGTTAGGATTGATCACAGGAGACATTTTTTGTGTGAAATTCAGGAGATAATATTGCTTAGAAGGTCAGTGCAGGGGCACCAGGTGATGTTGCGGTTTGTGTACATTGTCACTTGCGTGTTGTCTCACCTGATCTGTAGAGGGCAGCAGCTGGGCCTGTAGCTCCTCCACCTTGCACCTTAGCCACCTTCTGCTTCTCTGACTCCTGGGCCAGGTACCTGATTAGCTCCATAACAGAGAATGTCAGCTCCTACTGTATAACACCCACATCAACAAAGTTGTAGTCTTAGGGCATGAGAGACTGGCAAGGGTACTAGCCCTATCTCACAAGTTCCTATTTGTTCTGGATCCACCCCCATTTTACAGCTATATTCCCTTCCCCATTGCTTGTGCTGCTAACTTCAAGCTCAAGAATCCAATGTAAAGATTACAGCCTTACAGAGACGGTTTACCAACTTCTACAAGGGCAAAAGGGCACACCACAATAGCACTGAGAACACCTAGCACCACATCTTTGTTTCTAAATATTATTTCCCACTGAAAGCAATC